CTTTGGTCGCCAGGAGTCCGGCCCACACTCAGCGTATGCAATGTGGGTGGCATCAAGCTGGATTGTGCAAATTGTTTGGCAGCTGCAATGCGTTCGGAATCATGGCTAGCTATGTCAATCACAACGGCGAACGTGGCATACCTGGTATTGGGTGAACCAGGAAATTGGCATGATCTGTCTGTGTAAAACTGCAAGCTTGATCCATTTACATCCATGTGCTGGAGGGTGCAGAACATTGTGTGCGGGATGTCTGGCTCCAGCTGTTGTTCATGATAAACAAGGTGCCATTGCCTCTCAGGATGAACCATGATCGCAGGTAGTTCATGCCACTCCACCCCTTCCTGGGTCATCCAGTCGATTGTGTCTTGGATTTCTCCTCTGAAGTCAGCGCTCAGCGAGCATTCATATATTCTATGAAACTTGGTGTCTGGGATGCCACAATAGGCGCAGGTGGGGTCAGTCTGTGGGTCCCAGACTGCCTGCTGTGTGGCGCACTGGAATGCACTGGAAATTTCATTAAGAAGTGCTCGCCAGTCGGTTTGGCTGAATTTTTTGATGACTGCAATGGTGTCCAGGCTACTTATGGGTGGTGTGCCTTTTAAAGCTTTTTTGGCAGTGAATCTTGGGAGAAGGTCATCCTGCCAGGCTTCGAGCAGCAATCTTTTCCACTTGTGTCTGCTGGTGGTCAAAAATGGGTATGTGCGGAATGCAGCAACTGTGATATTGCCCTCCTTGTCGATTATCCACCCTAATCGGCCAAGGTAGAATTTGAGGCAGCCTGCCGGCCCCTTGCAATGGTGTGCCATTCCTGAATGTCTAGCTGCAAGCTGCAGGAATTGCTTTGCCTCCCCTGCTGTGCATCTGTGGAGGAAACGGTGGGCCATATTCACTGCGTTAAGCGCAAGCATGAGTTCCGGGTCATGAATGAAAGGCATACAGTGTATGGCTATTGCTGAATTCCGGCTCACAGAATGCCCAAGCAGTGCATCTGCTATCTGCGTGCGTATGGTGTCTGTGTGTTTTCTGGCAATGGGCAAAATTGCTGAGGCATAAAACGCCTGTGGGTAAACTGCAGTGGTGACGAGCTGTGCTTTCGTCTTTACATCATGTGGCATCGACTGGAGTTTTTTGAGGCGTCGCATTGCTTCTTGAAATCTATTGTGCACCTTACCCAATTTTGGAGGCCCATGGTATGTTAGTTGACCGCCTAAGTCCATGGCTTGGAGCAAGTGGGTGAGGGTTCGATCTCCTAGTTGCTGTCGAATGGCTCGTTTCATCGCAGGTAGCTGAGCTGGGTGTGTCATCCATATCCAACTTTTTTCCCAATCCACCTGCATGGTAAAAGCTACGACAAAGGTTTGGGTATCCGAAATGACTTGAGAGTGTAAGCTGGGTTGTTCCAGTGTCCATCCCCAGTTATCTGCATAGGCTGCCATCTGGGCAGCTGGTGTACGGTCAGTGATCATGTAAGTCCAGGCTGTTGCTATGGAAATCATGGTCATGACGCTCATAGGATCTCCTTCAGGAAATCCCCTGGTGGTGCCTTGGGGTGTGCTGATGGCGTCTGGAAGTATCCAAGACCTTGTTACTTTTTGAAGGGAGCCAAAAAACTGTCGCAACATCTTTTTGGGGACTCCTAACTTGGTTAACGTGGCCCTGGCAGAGTCTCGGTCGATTGTATTAAAACACTTAAGCAAGTCAATGGAAATACCTGATTTGGGAATGTTTTGCATGTGAGCCTGTTCAAGGTACCACTGCATTTCATAAATGGCGTCATAGGGTCCTTTGTCTGGCACAAATCCCGTGATGGCTTTGGGAAGGGATTTATAGATATGCAAGAGGACATGCCTACATTGGATTTTACTCCAGAGTCTATAAAGCTGGGCCATCACGCTGATTGGTCGGATCTGGGATGGTGTGATGACCCCTTCTTTCTTAGGGACAGGCATCGTTCGTGTCCACATCATCCACATGGGAAATCCTTCTTTATATCCATTCATGATGGTCATGAGGTGTTGGATAGCATGTCGAGGCAGGATGCGCAGTTCCTGTGCTGAGATCCCGTCGATTCCTCTGGCACTATTAGGATTTAGTGTGCGGATGGCTTGCACCCAAAGGTTCAGGTCCTCAGGGCATTCTGGGATCGGGAGGTTCGGCACTGTCTGAAGCAAGCTGGAGAGTTGGTCCTCAGTAGGCTGTATCTCACTTTTTGTCCAAAAAGGCTGCCAATACGCATGTAGCATGGCAAGCATTTTGTCTGGAGTGCAGTGGTGTTGTGTCTGTTGAACATCTGCTGCGTCAGGCCAGTCGTGTTCAGTGACTGGGTGTACCAGCAGGCTGTTATCATCCTTTTCTATGATGTTACAAGGCACATTATCAACCATCACTTGGGAGTCAAGTTGGAAAGCATTACAGTTATCCGCAAAAACTCTTTGGTGGTTATTTTCAGGGACTATTAGGGCATTTCTGATCTCTACACTCTGGAGGCAGGACAGTGGCGGTTGCATGTCCTTTTTGAGTTGAGCAAATGCATTTTTATGGCCCTGAAGGGTGGTGTCAATGTGTCGCCTGTATTGCATCTTGCGTGCCCATACTGCTTGGTCTTGGCGGATGGCTATGGTGGTCTCATGCTTGACCAGCTGATAAAGGGTATAAGCCAGGTCATACGTAGGCAAGCAAATAGGCAAAGGACCAATTTCAGGTTTACTCTGGGCCCAGCGTATGAAGTTGCCTTTGAAGGCCTGGCATGCTAAGACCGCCTTCCATTCACTTGTTAGGACTTCCATGTGTGTCGGAGTGAGTATGGTCTTTTTCAACCCTCTACAGATGGAGTCTAACCTTCTAACCTGCTTGACTTTTTTGCATGTTGCATGGGTATGGATCTCATGTGGAGGTTGATAGTCACCTGGTCTACCCTGCCTAGTGAGGTTCTTTCTCTGGCAAGGCTTAGGCTTACGTGGCTGACATCGCCCCCTGCAGTGTTTAGGTAGTCCCTGTGTTCGCTCCAATGGAATGTTGTCCTGATGCATCTGTGTCTTACGTAAGGCATGATCCACGGCTACCTCCACGGTTTGGCCCCATTCTTCAATGGTAGTGGGATCACCAAACCTTCGACAGGCATATTCATAAGCGTCAGGCAGGTGGTCCTCATTTAAGGGCAAGTGCATGAAGCTATGTGGCAGTGTCAAGCGAAGGTAGGTGAAGGGTTCTCGGGGCATTTGCAGGGTGATTATCACCACCTTATGTGCATCAAACCACGGTTCAGGGTGGACCTCAATTTGGGAAATGAGGTCTTGAATTTCAGGTGATACCAATGCGTTATCAGGGTGGGTTACATCCCTGCATGTGGGAGGCATATCTTTTCCATGGTGTCTAGGAAACAGTTGCTTCAGGTCCTTAAAGCCAAGTGCGAAGAGTTTTTGGGCTACTGGAAGTGTAAAGGGGTCCACATTAAAGTCTCCAAGTATGATGGCCGGTAGGTTAACTTGGGAGATAGCATGGAGAGCCTGTTGCAAAAGGTCATTATTAAAGCTGGCAGAGTCCTTTTGGGTGGAAGGAACTCCATACAAGGTTACCAATTGGAGCTTATTGGTTCCCATATGTACCACGCTATGTATGATTCTGCAAGTCGCTATCCATTCAGGCTCAAGTGTTCCTATGGCTTCTCTAGATGGGAGCGTAGTCATGATGGCTACTCCGGCTGCTTTTCCACGGAGGCTTTCGTCTCCGTCAGATCGGTGTCTATGCGCTGGTACTGGTGGTGACCAGTGCATCCTGGGGTAGGTTTTTCGGATGTTTCTGGCAAATTGCAGTTGTGCTTTGGCGGTGGCCGCCGTTTCCGATGCTGTGATCAGGTCTAGCTGCAATTTTTTGGACAAGTCTTGGTAGTTGGCAACTTTACTTATGATGGAGGTGGGATTAGTTATTCCTAACCTAATCTCTTCAAGCTGTGCAGGGCCAGGATTGGCTGCTTCTCCAACCCTTGTCGCACAAAAGGGTGAGTGATCAGGTTGCAAACTGGCCATTTCGGTACGGTGAGCAAAATGCCCTTCGGATGCAAAGGTGCAGTACCAAGTATTTGGTGCAAACACAATCTGTACAAAGAATCTATCAAGATAGTGTGGAGCATACAAGTCTCGGCAAATCAGTCTGTACACATCTGACCTTGCTGAATTACAAAATAAAAGGCTTCCAATGCTGTATATCCGGGTTGGAATTGTCTGATGATCCTCACAGTGTGCAGGCTGTGTCCTCAAAAATTTTGCCTTGTACCTCTGTGATGTGACAAAACTATGCTGCATACAAACCGGTCCTAGTGTGGCGAATGCTTCTGTACATTTAAGGCCCCCTAAACCGGACAGCAAAATGAAAATTTGCAGCAAGCAGAAGAACCTCCAGAGTGGACAAGGCATCATTGTGTCTCGGCTCACAGGAAAGTTGTGCATCTTCTGATAGGCTCTCTGGTGGTGCAATGGACGCAAGTTATCTGTACAAGTGACGGTGGGCGTGCAACAACTGCCCTCAGTTGGATCAATCATCAAATGCAAGCTGACCTTAGCCCGTCTTACTTGGAGTTGCTCACTTGGTATGTCCATTGGGTTACCATGACGACATGTTTGTATTTCATAGTGGGGTCGGCGGATGCTACTAGAACAGGCTCCATTCCCCGTATTTGGCAAACAAATGGTCTGTGGTTGACCAGAACTTGGCAAATGGCTTTGCTGAAAAACTGGCACTGCTACCTTGCTTCGAAAAACCTCAGCTACAGCGGCAGTGGTATTGGCAGGTCGAGCCTGGCTACATTCAGGTTGAATGATATCCCTATAGTGGCCCGGAACCTGGGAAAAATGGTTCCATACATGATCAAGCTTCCAAGTGACAATGGCAATGAACTCTAAGCCCTTATCTACTTCGGCCCGTCGTTGTATAGCAAAATTAGTAGACTGCTTCGGTCTATACATGCATTGGGGTTTGAATTTTAGGCTGGCTGAACTCGGCTGTCACTCCATGGGGTCGTCCCCTGCGTCTGGTTTTGATCTCTTTTGCGACTGTTGGAACAGGGCTTTCAGGTCTCTGAACTGCTGTTCCATGGCTTGGGAGTGCTGCTTCATGGTGTTGGCCAAGTTGTTGTCCAGGTCTGATTGAATCTTTTTCATCCCATAGTGGACCTTGGAGAACTCCTCAGCTTCTCTTTGTTTGGCGATGGCAAATTCTTCTTGGACTGCTTTGGCATGTTTTTCATGTTTCTGTGCAAGCTCGTCCAACTCTGTTCGGATGGCTGAGATCTTTTGTTCCTGGCTGTCAAATTTGGCCTCGATCGGCCCCTCTAGGTTTCGGGCTACAGGTGCTGTGGCTTGCAGAGCAGGCCTGGCTGGTTTCCAATTTGACCACGGGTCTGCTTGTGCCCAGGGGTCGGCTTCAGGTCCTGATTGGTAAGTCGGGTTCTGGCGAGGCCCCAACACCAATCTGGTTTTCTTGGCATCTCTTGACTGGATCAGGCGAATCAACAGCGGAGACGTGTTGAACATCAAGAGGCCTGCAGGTGGCGCATCGGCAGCTTTGACTAACCAGGATGTGGGTCCCAATGCTCGGAATGGTTTGCATGTCCATTGGTTAGCCTCCGCCCATGCGCTGAGCATTTGGTGGCTAGTTCCAAAAGGCAGGTTTTCAATCTTGAAAAGCTGATCACCTTGAAAGTCAGTTGGCGGCGCAATCTTTGGGTTGATGACTTGCCATGCTGCATCAAAAGCTGGTTGTGGATATCTCAGGCCCAGCGCCCCATTCTTGCCTTTGACCAAACCTGCACAACCGCTGGTCTGGGCACTGATTGCGATGGCTTTTGGAACTGAGCATTCTCCGTGCAGCCAAATGATTCGGTACTCACTGGTTGGGCGTCCCGTTTGCTGCTTGGGTGTGAGGTACAGCTTGTTGAATCCTGACTTCTGTAGGAGTTTTCCAAAGCTGGCTGAGTCAATCGTGGCATGAACCTGAATGCTAATGGCTTCATTGGGACTGGCCGGGGATCTTCCGTTGCGCAATGATCTGCCCCAGATTGCTTGCAGGCTTTTGTCAAGCTGGTCTGTCTGGAGAACCTTTCTGATGAAAGCACTAGTGCTGTGCACCGCCTCCATCCAGGTGTGATCAGGCCAATCTTCCTTGTAGATGGTGATGGCTGTGAGCTGGCAAACGGTTGCTGGTACCTGTTGAGGGTTACCCTGATTGATCTTGATTTGTTTACTTCCCAGTTGATAAAGTCTACCATATAACAGGACGTCTTGCCCATTTGCATTGGTGCACGGGAAAGTGACTTCATCTGATGGTACATTTTCTGGATACTGATGTCCAACAACCAAAATGGCCAATTCATCACTGGAAAGCTTTTGATTTTCTTTGAGGATCGGTGCAGCCTGGGAATCATTCATGAGGCAAACCCCCGTGGCTTGTGGTCGAATTCCTTGGATTTGTGTCGCTGGGCTCCCATCTTCATTCATAAAGAAAGCATTCACCAGTGTGAATTCCCCCAGCTGGATTGGCAATTCCTCTTTCTTTTTCTTTGCCAGGGTGCTCCGGTTGGCACTGCGCGTGATTGTGGCTTCGGTGGCTCCGGGATCTGGATTTTGAGCTCTTCACACAGTTGCATCAAACTCTGGATACGTGTACTTTTCTTGGGTTGGCTGGTGATGGATTGAAGTCTATGCAAACTGACTTTGTCCACGATACTATCTACAGTCTTGGCTGTCCAATCAAGCGGATGTCCCTGTTCCAGGAAAGCTGTGGCCAGTGCATTTTGCTGGATTGCTTTCTGCTGCTGTTTGGCTCCACCTCCATGCATTTCCATGACTGCAAAAAGTACGATCGGAGCCGGCTGCTGATTGGTGCTGCGAAGGCATTCCATGGTTGTCTCAGGTGCTTGCTGCTTGCCTTTTGAAACAATTCGGTACACTTTTCCCTTGGAAATAGGGAAAAGGGCATGGCACAGGATCATGGCTATGGTGCGAATGTCATGGCTCGGATGCAAAGCTCCCCTCCAAAGTGGCCTAGAATCCCATTTCAGTAGGACTTCTGGTGCATCAGGTTCTTCACACCTCAGCTGGTCGAGCAATGTTCTGGCTGCACAGATGGCTAGGGCCAGCTTGAATGCAGTGGGTGGTGCAATTCCATCATGCGAACATGGTGCAAAAGAAAGAGTGTCATTTGCAATTTCACTGCGCCGTCCTAGAAGGCTGCATGATTCCTCAGCACATGTGGTGTTCCAGAATTCGATGACGGCTTGCTGTGACTGTTCCGGTCCCTGAAAAGAGAAACAGACTGCATGATCTACCGTTCTTTCAAAAATACAAATTTGAACTTGTCGGAAGGCTGCAATCAAATAAACCAAATCAATTCTGGTCTTTTGGTGAAGGAGAGGCCTATCCGTCAAAACTGCATCAAAAGAAGCGGTCTGGAAAACTGCAATCTGGCCAAATTGGTCATACAGAGTGCTAGCTACGCTACTGATCTGGTGCTGCTTGAGCAGTGCCACTTTTGGTTCAACCGAGATCAAATTCAATTCCTGTTCAATCAGTAGAACGGCACAACATCTTTCAGTCGGATGGTCCCTCTCTTGGAAAGAGGTGGTTGGTTTCAAGATAGCTGTTGTGGCTTGGTCAACTCCTTGAAAATTCACCTCAAATGCATGGTCCCAGACTTTGGCTATGACATGTCCTGGCAGGTCAGCGGAATACCAAAACATGTGCTGGGTGTCCTCCATTTGAACTTCTCCTCGGATCAGTGGCTGCCAGATCAAGGTGTCTGGTAGAGTGTCCTCGATGTCAACCTCTGCGTCTGTCAGTTGTGATGAAGGTGGTGGTGCAGACGGTCTTGGCATTGTGAGCTGATGGATTCTTTCCATTTCAATCAGGCCATGTTTTGGTGTCCAAACGGCGTGCATAGGAATCTCATGTTTCCATGTCAATATTTGTTGAGCTGCATCACAAAAGTCGTTCAACAAGAGCATGTTGCGTTTGATCAACATATGTCCATCTGTGACAGGAAACAAATGGCTTGTCTCGGATCCAAATTGGTGAAGGCGAAATTTGTCAAACAATTCCATCATGTTGACTTGACTACCGTTAAGGCTTGGCAAAGTGTTGGTAAGGAGGTACAGTGCATGCTGTACAGCAATCATGTTGCCTACAATTTTGTTTGCCAAGATGAAGTCGTTTGGAATATGCATGACATCTGCAAGTCCATGGGCAAGGACAACCTCACTTGGGTGCCAAAGTCGGAATCCTTTCGGGGCTGCTGAATCATGAACAAAATGTCCAAAGTAGCCTTTTTCTTTCAATAGGGATTTTTCCAGCAAATGTTGAGTGCCATATCGTGCCATAAAGGTAGGCAAATGTTCTGTGGGCTGGAAAATCTTTGCCTGCAGAATCTGCGCTGGTGTCCCCTTGGTCTTGTGCTTGGCATATTCCAGTGAGCTGGCTACTTCCTCCATTTGTGCTGTGACGATGGTCTGGTGTCGCAGGGATTCTGGCAAATGAAGTTGTGGATTCGGGAAAGTGCTAGCATGTTTCCGAGGCCAGGCCTGGATGTTCGGTTTCATGACGGATGCATGCACTCTTCGGGCAATTCCTAACCATCGGAGTCTAGCTGGCTGTGAAACGTCTTTCAGGTCCAACGTCTTCTGGAAAATCAATTGGAATCCACAGTACAAAAGGAGTTGTTCAATCAAAGGCTTGTGTTGGTGGAAAGCAAATCCAGCTACCTGTTCAATCAACAAAAATGCCGGTCGAGCAAATCTGGCTTCCAGGATACTCTGAGCAAGGAGCAGTCCCTCTTTCGAGTGTAGTCCAGCGGATGCTGCGGCTGTGCTCCATGGTGGGCATGGACTGCTAATGCAAATGATGGTCGGCATCCATGTATGAACGGCTTTCCTAAGGTTCAGGTTGAACACATCTGCCTGTACAATCCAGTCCAAGTCATTTAGGAAAAGATCATCTGGGAGTCTGTCGGATGCAGCTATCAAATGGGCTCGGTGGGTCAGCGCATACTGGGCAGAAATCTCCGGGCTGGCTTCAACTGCAACAAATTGCATGGGGATCTGCTCATGGGTCCTCAAAAACTGTCCTGCATGTTTCCATCCCCCAAATCCCCCAGCAAACCATTCAAGGACCTTGATCTTGGTTGGGTGTTCCTCAAACGAAGGTACAAACGTCCAAAAAGAATGTTGATCAAAAACGTACGTGAAACCAGGGGTACCATTCCTGTAGATCATCTCTTCCACATTGAAAAGCCAAATCTTCTGGTGCATTGGGACTGATGTGGCTGCATCCCAAATCAATACCTGTGCTTCATCCATCAGTGTGTCTCTAGGGATCTCCATGTATTGTCGGGTGAATGCTTCAAATCCAAAACCTTCCGCACTCCAGTGATTGAAGAGATATTTGTTCTTGTCATCAATCTCATGAGTTTCATCAGTGATTTCCACCAACATGTTTTTCCGGTTTAATGCAGGATGGCATCCTTCAGCCCCAAAAATGTCATAGCTAAGCAGCAGGTGCTCCAAGATCCAGGCATCAAACGAAGTTGCCATGGCCCAATTCGGTCCCTCCAGGGACCCAAGTTCGGCGCGAGGAGCCTGGGCCTAAAACTTCGTTATAATTTACCCAGATACATTGATTGAACTTTATATCCCTATGGTGCTGCTATATATGGTGTGCCATGGATCCCATCAACAAAAACCCCTAATCAATGTTAGCATCAATGAATCAATATACCAGCACCGTTTGGATCCGTCATGGGTATATCTATGTACAGTATCCATGATGTTTAGGATCTGATGTATATCTGTATATCTATGGGATATGAATGGATATGATATATCTATGTATATAGATATATCATGATATATCTGTATATCATCCCATTTAGTATACATCATGGATACAGTATATATATATGTTTGGATCTGATCCACAAGCCAGGACCGAGATGGGAAGTCACCAGCAACACACATAACGCACATAATGCTCTCGCTCCGAGTGGTGTTTTTGTTTCCCCATGGTGGAGCCAAAAAAAAAGTGGAGCCTGCCCCGAGTTCTAAATGGAGGTTAACCTAAAATGGGGAAAAACCCCAAAATGGATGGTTTATAATGGTTTATTTCATGGAAAATCATGGAAAATCCCAATCTAAAATGGATGATGACTAGGGGTACTCCCATGACTTAGGAAACCTTCATTCATGGGTTTTTCCCTAAGCAAAACATGAATCATCACTATGCCCAGACCAACGCCTAAGTCACAGACGAGTCACGGTGGGAACTGCGCAGCAATCCAACATCAAGGAGAGACGGGATGTTTGAACCACTTGGGCGGACAGAAACCCCGAGGCCACGAGGAAAAGATGGGAACTTAAATGGGAGTCCAAATGGGATTGTTAAGATCCAAAAAACTGTATACAATTCCCTTCAACATCAAAATGGGATTGTTAGCGATTAATTCAGGGATCGGTGGTTTGGGCTAAGGCTTTCACATGGTTTTTATGAGCATTGGGAATGAGAGATCCAACCAGTTTAAGTAGATGGGCATTTTTTTTCGATGCACCGCACAAACTGGGTCCCAATGTATGCGCATTGTAGGACCACAAACCTGAAAAAATATCCATGTGCGGCTTTCAACTGAGTTTTGCACAGGTTAAAGGATACTAAAGGCACATATTCACCTTTTTACTGTGGCATATTAATGACTCAAGCACAGCATGTGTGACAGTCTGGGTTGGGCATTGGCTCAGCAACGCAAGTAACAAAGCATGCATTTCAATTCACAACGCTTGTTTTGTTTGCTATCGCTGATAGCTTCGAGTGACCGCTCTGCAATGATAAAAATGGACATCAAACAGTGGATAGTGTTGCCCTCCAAAAACATTCACGTGTTTGATGGTTAAAAGTTCCCCTTTTTGATGGTTGAATCCTTATTGTTGATGATTAACTCCTAGTAATGTGGAAAACCCAATGACCAAGAATGAACCATCTCGGCAACCAACCATTTGGAAATTATTTTAAATCATCTGAAAAAGGACTATGCCACTATGCCCAGACAATAGAGTTATAATTAATTTGAATTGTTCATTACATAGCCCATGACGGATCCATGGTGCTGGTATATTGATGCTAACATTGATTGGGGGTATATTGATGGGATCCATGGCACACCATATATAGCAGCACCATGGATCCTATGGGTGGTACCCTCTGGTAAACTAACATAACTATGGAAAATCACCATGTTTAATGGGAAAATCCACTATAAATGCCAATTTTCAATAGCTATGTTAAATTACCAGAGAGTATATCATGGTATTGTATAGTGACATGGGGGATTCACCTCAATGCTGTGACACGCGATGGATCCATCATTGCAAAGCCACGGCGTGCGGAGTGAGACCATGGTCAAAGATGCCATGCGATATGTAACAAAAGGCTTGGCTTAACTTGGCAGGATGGGTCAAAATATCTGAGCTCCACGAAAGTCTGGGCAAAGCATTTTTTGGATTTCACCAAGCTCAAAGAAGAAACACATACCCTCTGGTAAACGTTTACATAACTATGGAAAATCACCATCTTTAATAGGTAAATCAACTATAAATGGGCCATTTTCAATAGCTATGTTAAATTACCAGAGGGTAGTATGGTTTCCATGATAAGCCATCAATTCCCACTGAAAGATTCCTTCCAATCCATAGATCCCGCGAGACCCATGTGAAATGCCCCCTTGGTGGCTTCATATGGCTTCATATCCCAGAGAGATTTATCCACAGATCGTAAGTGGTGAATATCCCTGGTTAGTAGGTCCCCGTCTTTTCAGCGGCTTTTCCCACTTGTAACTGGTTACTAAGCAAACCCCCACTGACCCGTGGTGGATTGGCCCATGAAAAATCACTGGGTGAAAACCCCATCTACTAACCAGTTACTAACCAGTAACTAATCCCAATTTTGCTGGCTGAAAACTTCAGTGACTCATCAGTTGCTATGGATAAAGTTTCAAGGTCCCAGCTCAAAAAAGGTTTGACCCATCCTCGAGGACAGCTTCGCGTCCTTTCGATTCGTTGAGTTTCGGAGTGTCTCTTTTCGGTGACTTCACATGCCCAGAGGGCCAAGCAAAAGCGGTTCAGAACGTGCAACTTCAGAGGTAGAAGAACAAGGATGAGTTGAACTTCAAAGGTTTTACCGTATTTCTTGGACCCATCTGAAAACCTCGAGTCCTTTTTGAGATCATCCTGCGAAAAGGGGCTGGCAAAACGAAAAGACCAGTTGGCCGTCCCTGAACTGATTTGCTCTATGATCCTTCACAAACCAAGATTGCTATTGATGCAATGCTGAAAAAACAGTGAAAGCTTAAGTTTCACCAGTACCATCGGGAAACATAGCCTTTTGATAATGCTGAATTTTGGCAGGGTGCACCCGAGCATACCATTTCAGTCTTGAGAGGAATTATATATCAGAACCATCCCCAAACTTATGATCCATCATTTTTACTAAAGCTGAATCATGCTATGGCAACAAGCATCTTCCAAGAAGTTACTTCCTTGGGCTGGCCAAATAACTAGCCGCAGTAGTTGTGGATCTGAAGAACCCCCCAAATATTGGGACCAGAGGTCTTAAACCCATACCCAGATAACTGGAAGGTCGACCCAGAAGGCAAAAAGATTGTGAAGCCAGCCATCGACACCACTAATTTTCAGCTGCGCGGGTGGCACGCGTGCGAGTCTCCTTGGCGAAGGCTGCGTTGTCCAATGTTGGGACCACAAAATTGTGGGATTATCATGTTCAGAAATTCAAAGAATGGAATATGGTCCTGGACCCTCAAAGTACCCTGCTATTACTTGTTTCTTCTATAGTAGTACTTTTATCATTTCCATTTCTTGGGGTATATATTTAATCAGTTAATATGGGCTGGTATAAAACGCACCATTTCCAGACAACATCATCAGATATGTCCTAGTTACTTCCACAGGAAAAACGGATCGCCTGGTGAGTTAACCACTTATTTAACCAACAAAAAGTGCCGCTAAAAACATGGTTTCAACACCAAAATCGGTAAACATTATGAACACTATATGGACTGAATGTGCAAAGCCACCAGAGAAACTGCAGGTCCACATGTTTTTTTCAGTTCCATTGGAACAGCTTACCCTGCAAAGTCCAGGTCAAAAGTCTTGTTCAGCATCGAGAGATATCACCAGTGGAGCAACTATCTATCCCAGGATCGTTTCAGAAGTGTTCAAAACCCTACTTACATATGTAGGATATTATTGGATAATATTAGATATAGTATAACCTTATAGAATCATATATATATGATTGATATAATCTATAATCAATCAACAGGGGTGTTAAACATTGCAGATAAGTTCAAAGCATCGATTTCTTGATATTTTGTGGTCAACTAACCTCTCTGTGATCACTGTGGCCCCCTGCAAAGACATGCTGCAGTTGGCTCTCGTTTAAGACTGGCCTTGTGATCACCCGGCGAATCAGGCGCGGCCCAGTTTTTTTCGCTTGCAGCTTGCAGCTGGTATCGGTGAGTCACCGGTTTCACCCCATTCTAAGGGCCAAGCAGTAGCTCCAGACCAACCTTAGAGAACGAGAACAGATCAGTTTTTTGCAGCGCCTGACCTGCAGGATGTCATGATGAGGGGGGCCCATCATGGCCCATCCCTGGCCAGAATGTGGATGTGCGGATGTGCAGAAAAATCTGTTGGGGTCAGAACCGAGGAGAGGAAAAAACGTACAAAACAATAACACCCATAGGATCCATGTATGGTATATATGCTAACATTGGGGGTATATTGATGGTAAATGTTGCCATATATAGCATACATGGATCCTATGGGACAGGTCGTATGCATTTATTCCCAGAAGTGAAGAAGGGAAAATACTCGCGAAATCCCTATATTAGATGGTAAAGACAGACAATGGTGTCCTGTAGATGTTTCCTTCAACCAGTCTATTGCCCACCTCATTGTTGATCGAGTCTTTACAATGATAGTTTTAAAAAAATGATGGTGAAACATGGTAAAACAACAGTTTTTGATGGTATCATACCCTTTGTTGATGGTCAAACCGCCATTTACCCTCTGGTAATTTAGCAGTTTGCCATGGAAAATGTTCAGTCTTAATGTTGACCTACGACTTTTAAACCCACCCTAAATAAAGCTAACCAGAGCCCCAAAACAAATAATAAATGACCCCTAAATAAAGCTAAACTTTTTTGGCCCAATTTTTTTTTGGCTTATCCTATATGTTGCTCTTTCTATTCAAAACCTTTATTCAAAAATGATAGCTGGAAATTTTTCAAAAATGATGGATGCTCTTTCTATTCAAAACCTTTATTCAAAATTATCCAAAATCAACTCCAAGGGTACCCCCCAATGAGGTGCCTTAGCACCAATTAGAGTTTGACCCTGAATAAAGCTACTGAGCCTCCCCCTCCCGCTGATCAAGAAATGAATACTAAATCAATACTAAATACTAAACCAATACTAAATCAATACTAAATCCATGACATGAATACTAGATCAATACTAAATCCATGACATGAATACTAAATCAATACTGAATCCATGACATGAATACTAAATCAATACTAAATCCATGACATGAGTACTAGATCAGTACCAAATCCATGACATGAGTAATAAATCAATACTAAATCCATGACATGAATACTAAATCAATACTAAATCCATGACATGAGTACTAGATCAATACAAAAACAATTGTTGGTTTCCCTTTTTTTTGGAAATTGCATTTTATATTATCGTTTTAAATTGTGGTAATTGAAAACCTTTACATACAAACAAGTTTGATGGTGGCTTTAAGTCTATTTAGGGGAAGAGAGGGGGGCCCTACTTATAAATCAGAGGTGAACGTTAATAGGACAATCAATGAACATCACCTATATGTGTTTGCCATGTTCTAAGAAAATCCATGGAACAAATCCATGAGAATCCCCTATAGATTGGCCATTTTCCATCATTTTCCCATGACGCAGTGAGTCTTCGGCTCCCGGCCGAGGCGGGGTCCACCGGAACGCCCGGAAAGGGAGGCCGCTGCCTGACTTTCTGATCGACCAGTCGTATCATGGGGTCATATAAGGATGCCATAGGATGACTATATCAGAAGTTTGATGTAAAATTAGACCTTGCCATTTTGGGGGTTGGAAAATGTTGGAAGATTCTAGTTTCCACTAAGAAATTGGTGGTTTTCAGGGTCGAAGTGTTCATTTACCAGAGGAATGATATTGAAGATATTATGAAACATTATGAAGATATAGCGAAGATATAATGAGGATATGATGAAGATAGAATGAAGATATATAATGAATACATAATGACGATAGGATGCAGATATAATGACGAAATTATGAAAATATACTGAAGATATCATAGGATATAGGGTTGCAAAAAGGATAGGGTCATTCTGAAACAACCATTTTAATCGGAAGATGAAAGATGATGATAAAGAACGGGACTGGGGTATAGATTGAGAGTATCTTTGGAATTGTTGGAACTATGCCCTCAGACAGGGATAGGGGGCTATATTGGTTATGTGTATATATATATACATATGCGTATGGATACATATATATATATATGTATAGAAGGCCATGTATAGTGGTGATGGTATGGGTCATCATGCCGTACATAGTATAGCCCACAATATGATTTAGGTGTGTCAAAATCATCCGGGTTTTTTTCGACCATCGCAATTTTCATGGGAACCTGAATCTTCGCAGGAAAATGGAGGGTCTCTACTCACGAATTACCCTCTGGTAAACTAACATAACTATGGAAAATCACCATTTTTCATGGGTAAATCCACTATAAATGGCCATTTTCAATAGCTACGTTAAATTACCAGAGGGTATATAATAGCTATTGTCGGGGTTCTGGCTCCAAACACCATCTCGGAGGCGGTCCATTCGTAGGAATGATGGCCATGTATCTTGATAAACATTCAAAGATTGACGGCTTCAAATGTTCAAGATCCACATGTATAGAATTTATCCCATGATTTACCCTCTGGTAAACTAACAAAAAGCTATTGAAAATGGTCATTGAAATCGTTGATTTACCCAGCTATAAAATGGTGATTTGCCAAAGTTAGACTTTTACCAGAGGGTATCCCATGAATATCCCATGAGTATCTCATGATTATCCCAGTATGTTTTTTTTTCTAGGGCCCAAAAAAAAATCACCGGAGTCTGGTCCTTGAAAGGGGACGTCCCCGTGATGGTGGACTGAATCCATCTGAATCCCTATGATTTGGAAATCTCTGTGGTGATCTCTGATCAATGGCCATTTCAGGAACCGATTTATTGCAGGTACCTACCATATAGAAGGCCTATTTTTGAGGCTTATGTAAGGGAATATCCGAATATCCCCACAAAATATGGTTTTTTGATCTTGAGTTAAACGTGTTTCTTAAACTTGAAGGTACCAGAAACTCCGTGGTTTTCCCATTGAAAACCCACCCGTGAACATGAACTTGGATGATTTGGGGGTCCCCCACTTCAAGGAAACCGCAGATATTATATCTCATGCGTAAGGTCAACTCGGATTCATAACCCTTGGTCGATGAAAAATCGAAGGATTGTCCCTAAATAGAGATTTCGTTTCGGTACCCAGAAGGATACCGGATACCTGCCCTCCCCCAATGATCAACGGCGGGGTTCATATTCATCCTGGATCATCCTGGACGTTAAGATATATCTGGCAGGTTCCCAGAATCGCAAGAACCCCCCAAATCATCCAATTTCCTGGTCTTTGGATGTCATTGATATTCATTGAGCGCATAGTTTCAATGGAGAAACAAATGATGCATGTGATATTCATTGATCAATTTTTGGTGATGTTCATGGTAAATTACTTCACTTCGAATGATCCCCACCATGACATTTATACATTTTCTTACTGGCAAATCTTCTGGCATTCTATCTGAAATATCTTCTGCCATTCTATCTGGCATTCTATCTGGCATATCTTCTGGCATATGTTCGTTCTGGCAAATCTTCTGGCATTCTATCTGGCAAATCTTCTGGCATTCTATCTGGCATATCTTCTGGCATTCTATCTGACATTCTATCTGGCATATCTTCTGACATTTTTTCTGGCATTCTATCTGGCATATCTTCTGACATTCTATCTGACATATCTTCTGACATTCTTTCTGGCATATCTTCTGACATTCTGTCTGGCATATCTTCTGATATTCTTTCTGACATTCTTTCTGGCATTCTATCTGGCATATCTTCTGACATTCTATCTGACATCTTTTCTGACATTCTTCCCGTTGAGGTCCGGCAGTGCCCACTGCGATCTGGAAGTCGCGGTTGAGGTCCGGCAGTGCCCACTGCGATCTGGAAGTCGCAGTTGAGGTCCGGCAGTGCCCACTGGGATCTGGAGCTCGCGGTTGAGGTCCGGCAGTGCCCACTGGGATCTGGAGCTCGCGGTTGAGGTCCGGCAGTGCCCACTGCGACCTGGAAGTCGCAGTTGAGGTCCGGCAGTGCCCACTGCGATCTGCAACTCGCGGTTGAGGTCCGGCAGTGCCCACTGGGATCTGGACTGCGAGGAGGAGGAGGACGAGGAGGAGGAGGATGCGGAGGCGGAGGAGGAGGAGAACAGCTCTGATAAAATCTAACAACCCTCACCTGGCAGGTGGGGAAAAAAATGATTCCCACAGGATGGTTTCCCCAAGTTATAAGTTGCTTTACAAACCCCATGAACTAGTTCGTGAAATCTCTACCATCAACATCCATAAACTAGTTAGTTAGTTACTGTAGTTGGTTTATAAACCCCATTAACTATAGTTATATGGCAGTGTGTCAAAACCTTGTACCCCTATAGTTCACATCAAAATAGCTGGGATTTATGGATGTTCATTCCCCTAAAAATGGTATTTTCAAAGGTATTGATCCATACCCAATTAGCTCCATTTACTTTTAGATCTAGTTGAGTTAGTTGGTTTATAAACCCCATTAACTATAGTTATATCTACATAAAAACCATCGAATTCAGCCAGCCATATCTCAACCCCAATGGACCCCCATGGCCTCCTGGGTCGCAGGGGCTCCTGCGGCTGCCGCGTCTCGTTCGGCAGGTTGGCCGCGATGGACACCGCCTCCTGGGTGAAACAAGCGGTGCGTGGCGAAAGTGTCGCCCACAGGTTGAAATTCTGTGTAAATGCACATGGATATATTATCACTATTGTCATTATTCTGATATATTCTTAAATGATTAAATAAAAATATGATGATCATGATAATCACGATGATGATGATGATGGTGATGATCATGATGATGATGATCATGGTCATGATAATGATGATGATGATGATGATCATGGTCATGATCATGATGATGATGATGATCATGATGATGATGATCATGAACATGATGATGATGGTGATGATGATGATGATGATCATGATGATGATGATCATGGTCATGATCATGATCATGATGATGATGATGGTGATGATGATCATGATGATGATGATCATGATCATGATAATGATGCTGATGATGGTGATGGTGATGATGATCATGATCATGATGATGATGATGATCATGATGATCATGATGATGATGATCATAATGATGGTGGTCATGATGATGATGATCCTGATGATGATGATGATGATCATGATCATGATCATGATCATGGTGATGGTGATGATCATGATGATGATGGTGATGATGATGATGATCATGATCATGATCATGATGATGATTGTGATGATGATGATGATGATGGTGATGATGATGATGGTGATGATGATGATGATGATGTAGAAATGATGATGTAGAAATGATGGTGTAGAAATGATGATGTAGAAATGATGATGATGATGTAGAATGATGATGATGATGATGATGTAGGAATGATGATGATGTGGAAATGATGATGATGTAGGAATGATATATGCTGAAAGATATGGACCATTGATAGTTCATAATTCATATGCGTATTGATGTATACGGCCAACGTGGATACAGAATCCGTTTGCATTCCTGCCATCTCTGGATCTACATCTTTCTACACCTTGGTTCATGGCAAATCGTCACTCCCATGGTAGGGTAAAATGAGTGACTTGACGTGCAGGTTAGATGATCAGCCATGTAACCTAGATATTGTTCATAGTTGCCAAGAAACTCTCAGTACAAGTAACCACAACATTGATTGCCGCAATTTTCTACATTTCTAGATATTTTGAGTAAACTAAACTCACCTAATCCAAACTACCTAGGCCAATTCCACATATCTTTCACCTAGGTCCCCCAGCAGTGGCCACTTCATGTCCCACAAAGAGCATCTCGTTGGATTCCGGCTGTGAGGCTTGCCTCAGAGCCACGGCAAAAGCCACGGGAGGACAAAAACAAAGTGGGCGATATGACTGGTTTCCGAAATACAGTGATATATATATATATGTATGTATTTATATACGTATATAGTATATAAAAGTTGGGGATATGAGTGGTTTCGGGCATGTGAGGTGATTTTTTCGCAAAATGATCACTTTAACTATGTTTCTACACTATATGGAGGTTTCCCAAGTCATGGGGCTATCCCTAAAATCATCCAGTGGTCATGTATGACTATGGCTTAGTATTGAAACAACTACGGTGACTTGGGGATCCCCCATTTGAAGAAACCCCGGTATGAGTCGATGTTCTCAAAATCATGCAATTTCTTACTGTCATTTTACTGTCATTCTTAATCGGGAAACGTACGGGTTTTTGGGTCCCATTCAAGGAAACCGCGACAACAGAAGTTGGGATATATATATATAATGTCATAATATTATAAGTTATATCATTATAGAATTAGGTATATTTTATTTTATATATATATATAGAAAAATAAAAAATATTGTGTATATATATATTTATATATATTGAACAAAAATGACGGCGCAACCAAACAAAATTGTGATGCCAGCAGCATTTCAACGTGGAAAACAAACGATTTCACCAGCCATAACTTGGAATCTAAGCAACCAACAATTGAGATACGATCAGCTTTTTGAATTGGATTTTACAGTCCCTTCTAGGTGCCGAAAAATATCCAAGAGTGAGGCGGTCAGCAGCAACAATGGGGGGTGTCACCAGCAACTGTGAAACTAAACCAAAAGTGAGAACCTCCTTTATTTGCTTCAAGGGAAACTCCACAGGAAACCATGGGCTGGTTGATCCACTTCGCCATCCTATCTTGATCCCACTGGCTGGTAATTGTGGATACAGTAGTTATGCTATAGTTCGGCCAAAAGTCCAGGGTCCGCCAAGAACCCAGAACCAATCAGCACTCCCTCCGATTCCTTCTGAAGTGAGTTACTGTATCCCCAAAAAGATAGAAAAGGAATCCCTATTGACATGGTGATTCTCTTGGAGGATGATAAAATATTATGTTGGTCTATCTCAGTGCCCAGTTTGGGACAGCCTCCGGCAGCATGCCCCCCTTGGCACCTCATCAACCTGAAGCAATCCATAAATGAGCCTTGGTGCCAGTGATTCCCCAGACATTTCAGGGAGGCGAACTGAACGGAATCGGCGACAAATCCAAGAAGACAAGTCCTTTCCAAGCCAAGTTGGGTAGGTAATGCTCCTGGATGGATGAATTTTTAGACTTTATTCAGGCATTGTTCCGACCATTTGGACCAGAAAATTGGAGATTTCCAGAACGATTTCCTGCCGATGCGAAGCAAAGTGACCCCCTGGTTGGGATCGTCACAACCTCAGTGCAGCGCAGAAATTGCACTGAATCCCACGTCCGGTCACGGGCATGATCTGGGCGAGGTGAGGTGGTGGGGGGATGGAAATCTACGACGTTCACCTGGTTTGGTTAAAGGGAAAATCTACAGAAAACCATAGTTTTTCCCATTAAATATAGGTCTCCTTGCAATTTTTCCCTTCAACCAATCCAATAAGACTTTGGACTGCGGATGAATCTATACCTAGAACCAAAAACGTCTAAAGACAGGCCATACTCCAAACCATCAGTTTTCACCGAGGAAGGTAAGTCTATCCTTTGGGGGAGCTACCCTTTTCTTGGCATCGCCATCAAGGCGTCCCCCCCCGCAGAAAGCCATCCTTTTCTCAACTGCTGCGCCCTGTACAATCTTGGCAGGAGCGAGATCGTGCGTCTTGAACGACTTGTCTTCTGCTCCATGTGTTTTTAGAGTTACAGGGCCCCCTGTGACGACCTTGTTTCAGTCTTCAAAGGGGCTTTTTCGCCTCTCCGTTGATGATTGGTAGCCCTACTTTAAGAAACCTCCATTTATCTTAAACACCGGATTCTTTTTCAGTAGGGCTACCAATCATCCACCATCCAGGTAGGGTTACCAATCACGCCTCCGTGCGCGTTTTCAAATTCAAAGATCATCCACCATCCAGGCAGATTGTCGCCTTGAAAAAATCGCCTTTCGGATCATCTCGGCACAGACCTTTTATCGCCAGGTAGATACCCAAGGACCAAGGATTGGCAAAGGTACCCTCTGGTAATTTAACATAGCTATGGAAAATGGCAATTTATAGTGGATTTTCCCATTAAAAATGGTGATTTTCCATAGTTATGTTAGTTTACCAGAGGGTATAGTATACTGTTATAAGGGACGACCTGCTCCTATAATCCGCCATCTTCCAGTCTCGGAAACATCTCAAATCATTTGAACAACTGCAGCAAAAGACACGTTTTTTGTTCCCATGGTTTTCACGGCTGAAATCCCATGATCATTGATCAACATCCCATGGCTGGCAAAATCAACACAGCTGTTGATGACTTCAATCACCAGATGTTCCGAAGTCAAAATCCACTTTGATATATCCCAAGGATATGAATCTCAATGTCTTAAGCTCCACTTCTTTCCGATTCTTTCTGCATAAAAATCCCCACATTCCAAGCATTTCAAACAACCTCCAGCCTCCGGGAGTTGGCTGGCCACGCGCAGCCCGGACAGGTGACAGCCGTGATCCAAGAGCTGCGGCTGGAGCTCGAGCGTCCAATGGAAGCTCTGGCCATCCTTGTGGCCACGAAATGGTAAATGGGTGGATAAAACCATGGTGGTAAATGGCTGATGATTTCGGAATTGTAGTTGGATAGCAGTATAATATGGTATCAATGGTTGGTAGGTATAATATGGTATTATATGGTATAATATGGTACCCTATATGGTTGGTATCAAAGCATTGGCAATCATTGGTTGGTATAATGTGGTACCCTCCCGTAAACCACCAGTTCGATGTGGAAAGAATCACACCATTTAAGTAGATCAGTTTCCAAGGGAGTTTTCCACGGGTTTTCCACATCTATGTTAGTTTAAGCCAGGGTAAATGGAATATCTTGGGATTCTTGGAATAAACCGGATTAGGGATTATATCTAGTGATTCCATCGTAAATGGATGTAAATGGAATATCATGGGGGTATATGGATGTGGGTCAAAATGGAAGACCTAGGGGACCACAGATGGAAATGTCTAGTTTAGTATTAACCATCCAATTATTGGGGTACCTAATTTTGACTCATACCCATATAACCATAATGCAATAATGAAGTATGGCTAAATTGTACTGATCATTTCCAGTGACATTGTGGTGACGTCGTTTTGGTGCCTACATTGGGCGGGGTTTGACAGTCAATCTTGCAGGATTGAAGGTCAACCCGAACATGAAAAGGGACGCTGGAAAATGATGACATTCCATGTGATTCAGCTCTCCATTGGATCAAAGATCGTATGAAGAATGATACAGTAACCAACTGGAGGGAAACTGAAATAACCATCAACAACCTCCTGCAAAACCTCGTCAAAAAATGTCAACAATATGTTGTTTTTTTGGTGCAATCCAACAAACAACAGTCATTTTAATGTGGGCGACCTGTTAATAAAACTAACATACCACCCATAAAGTTCTTATTTGGGGGATGGTAAACATGGCATTGGGTGGATCCCACATTAATTTGTTTTTCAAAAACAAAATGGAAAACCTCCGTTTTTTCCCGTCCCGTCCCAGTCCTTGTCAAGCTCATCTTCAAAATCAGCACTCAGGATGAACATTCGATAGGACCTGAAAGGAGCTAAAGTGAAGGTCTGCCCCGTTATTCTGCAAACCACGGCTTCGAACTAGCACAAAACGATAAGATGATATCCTGACAATTTAAAACTGATGATAAGCAATATAATTCATATATACAGTATATACATATACATATATATAGTTAGCCTAAGGCAATCCCGTCTTTTCTATCTAACCGCCCACTTACTATACCAACAAATTTGGGGGATAATCATGAAAGACGGGAGCCCCATAAACGAATTAACAAAACCAAAACAGCATACCAACAAACAATCATACAAAGATATTCAACATAAAACCTAACAACAAACAACAAAACAAAAAAACTCAAACAACCTAAACAATACAATAGATTATAAAATAGACTATACCAAAAACCATAACAACAAACCAAAACAAAAGACAATTTCACTTTTATAAAATGAAATTTAACTATCATTCTTCTTCAAATTCTCCTCATGCTTCAAAGTGTTTGTGTGCCTCTTGTAATTTTGAGTTTGAATTTCATAATCATCACTTCAAATTTATGGGGATAACCAACATAATTTTCATCATCATTTATCATGAAGATTATGGGATTAATTACCACAGTCTCTCCCTATAGGGGAAGCCTCAGCCCCCAGCCAACATACTATCCCACCCCCCAGCATACATACCAGCATACATACAAACTAGCATATCACAACAGCATCACATCTTTCTCAATCTCAAATCTCTTTATTTACCGCAATTACCATGCCCAAACGGCCCTTCATGAACTTGTTGATAACCATGTCTTCTTAACCTCAGCGCGATGTAGATGGCACAGCAATCCAAACTTTTGGGGCGAAATGGAGTGAAAAAGATTTGTGTTTTGTGCCTTGTTGGTGCCAGAATGTCAAGCTTTTGAAGGCTCACTGGCATCAATGCTCTATTGAAGCAATGTCCTATTCCTACCTGACACCCTGAAACCTTGCTACCTACAGACCTTGTCAATCATAAAAGCATCAGCCAAGAGCCCTGTTTTGCAAGTCGCCCTGGTGGCGAAGCAAGCACTGTTTTGCAAGTCGCCCTGTTGGCGAAGCAAGCCTTCTCAAGACGTGAACCATCATCATGCCCATCATGGGAAGACTCGCTTCTCAGTCTCCTCGAGGTTCTCCGACCGAGGGAGGAAGGGCGCTCCACTCTTCTCAGTCTCACTTGGGAGGCCGCGGCCGATGATGATGCCGCTCTTCTCAGTCTCCTCGAGGTTCTCCGACCGAGGGAGGAAGGGCGCTCCACTCTTCTCAGTCTCACTTGGGAGGCCGCGGCCGATGATGATGCCGCTCTTCTCAGTCTCCTCGAGGTTCTCCGACCGAGGGAGGAAGGGCGCTCCACTCTTCTCAGTCTCACTTGGGAGGCCGCGGATGATGATGTCACCGCTCTTCTCAGTCTCCTCGAGGTTCTCCGACCGAGGGAGGAAGGGCGCTCCACTCTTCTCAGTCTCACTTGGGAGGCCGCGGCCGATGATGATGCCGCTCTTCTCAGTCTCCTCGAGGTTCTCCGACCGAGGGAGGAAGGGCGCTCCACTCTTCTCAGTCTCACTTGGGAGGCCGCGGCCGATGATGATGCCGCTCTTCTCAGTCTCCTCGAGGTTCTCCGACCGAGGGAGGAAGGGCGCTCCACTCTTCTCAGTCTCACTTGGGAGGCCGCGGATGATGATGCCGCTCTTCTCAGTCTCCTCGAGGTTCTCCGACCGAGGGAGGAAGGGCGCTCCACTCTTCTCAGTCTCACTTGGGAGGCCGCGGCCGATGATGATGCCGCTCTTCTCAGTCTCCTCGAGGTTCTCCGACCGAGGGAGGAAGGGCGCTCCACTCTTCTCAGTCTCACTTGGGAGGCCGCGGCCGATGATGATGCCGCTCTTCTCAGTCTCCTCGAGGTTCTCCGACCGAGGGAGGAAGGGCGCTCCACTCTTCTCAGTCTCACTTGGGAGGCCGCGGATGATGATGTCACCGCTCTTCTCAGTCTCCTCGAGGTTCTCCGACCGAGGGAGGAAGGGCGCTCCACTCTTCTCAGTCTCACTTGGGAGGCCGCGGCCGATGATGATGCCGCTCTTCTCAGTCTCCTCGAGGTTCTCCGACCGAGGGAGGAAGGGCGCTCCACTCTTCTCAGTCTCACTTGGGAGGCCGCGGCCGATGATGATGCCGCTCTTCTCAGTCTCCTTGCCGGAGTTCTCCTCTGCCATGACGTTGTTGCAGCTCACGCACAATGCAAGGATGAGGCAAGCGAATACACCAGATTTGAGCGCCATGGCAATGCCGACACCCCTGAGCTAAAAAGCGTCCCTGAGTGGCTTGAGGAAAAACTCGCAAAAACGCTACGGAAGAACATAAAGATGCTGAAGAATGACACAAAATTCCAAGCGCAAACTGAAAGAGCTAATTTCTGTAGCTTTCCAACTGAGAATGTCAAAGATGCTCAAATTGAAACAAATTCCAAGGTCAAGCTCTCCAAGAATATGTGGCTTCAAACCTCCAACTGACATTCTCAACAGCTGAGCGCCCCGACAACAGGATGAAGAAGAGATTGATGACGAAGCCATGGCGGGGCAGAAGGGCAAAGGAACATAGAGCAATCCCAGCCAATGACCCAAACGTGCCGAACACAAATTCGTGGGGAAAACAAATGAAGGGCAAAACACAAAACCCCGAAACCAAAAGAGCACATAAAATCAACCATCTGATGGGAAAAAATGCTTACAAAGCTTTCTAAAAACACTAAATCTTTAAAAGTTCGTGCCTCATCAACAATCTTGGGTAATCAGTTAATTTGTAATATTGTTGGTTCAACTTTTCTGCAATCTCTTGCACAACATAATAACCTTTCAGCCAGTGGGAAGTTCTTTCTTTCTCTGTAATTGCTTTCTTTCTCATTATCTTTACTTTGTCTCCCACCTCTAATGTTGGATACATCCTTTCCTTCTTTGCCTTTGATGCTACATTCAGCATTGCTCTGAATTCATTTTTATCTTTCCTTGCCTCTTTTGGTGTCATACCTGTAGCGGAGTGTTTCATTTTATCATTGTATGTCAGCATAATTTCTAAATTGTAATCAACCCATTTGATATGTTCTCTTCCTTTCTTTTCATCTGCTTCAACTTTTTTAAAAAGCATATCTTTGTAGGTGCGTATAAATCTTTCAGCAAAAGCAGGATGACCCCTTGTCCTATACAACTCAATATTCTCACCTTCAATATAGTCTTTAAAATCACCTCCTGCTATTGCTTTTTCATCATCACTGTATATGATTTTTGGTTTCTTTCCCATTTTTTTTAATGCCTCTTTAGTTGCCTCAATAACATCAGGTTCATTCTTGCTTACAATTGGAATTACTACGGCATACTTGCTTAAAACATCAATACAAACCAATCCTCCTCTATATTTTTGTTCTTCATCAAAATCATAATACCCCATAAAAAACAAATCAATTTGATAAGTATGATTGTTATGAGGTGCTACAAAGGAATTATGCCCTCTTGGCTTTGCTTTTATCTCAACATTTTTCCTAAAGAATTGTTCAACATCCTCTTTCTTGATTGTAGGTTCTTTCTTTTTAGCATCTTCTAATGTGGTCTTTCTTGAACCATAGCCACTTCTATCAAAATAAATATCACGAATAATTTGTTGTTTCTTACTTTCACTCATTATAGAATAGATGATATAATAAATATTAAAATTATATCATTTATTCTTCATTTTGTTTATTTAACCAGTCTTGGTGCTTTTGTCATTTCTCGTGTCTTTTTTTGTGTTGAAATGTGTAATATTTGCCACAACCACACAAATGTTTTTCCAGCAAGATGTGTTTTCTTTCTTGAAACCGTCTTCTATGATATTCCTGTTCTTCTTCTTTATGAAGTTGTTTGTAAAGGTCATTTCTGAACCTACAATATTCATTTTCATCTTGGTAATATTCTGCTGGTGTTCTACACGGCACACATTTATTGATACAGTCATTGTTTTTGATATAGTAGCCCTCCCTCCGTCTTAACTCTTCCTTGCTATTACAAGGGTAGTTTTCTACTAATTCAATTTTACAATTCTCTATACCGAATTCATCAAACAAATCAAAAGAACGTGTATTTGTAATATTACCTTTCAAGTATGCTGTGTATTTGGCTCTATGTCTTGTCATTCTTTGGCTCAAACTTTCGCAAGTAGAACCATAATAGGTTTTATTATATCCTACATCTACTATTTTATAAATCTGCTCATATCCCTACTTATCTTAACTTATCTTTTCTTTAAGACCATTTTACATTAATATCTTATTTGAAAAAGCGCAATTACAAGACACACAATAACCTCTACAATTATCTTTAAAGTGAGCTTCACAACAATTAACCCTTTGGCAGGTAATGTTTGACACAATCCTGCCTTCTTCAAAATCTATCACCAACGGTTCATTACAATTCTCACACCGGGTATTCATCAGGTTCATCAAAAAATCTACATCATCATTTCCTTCTACATCTCTACCTGCTTTCTTGTCTTGCTCAATGTAATTTAAAACCTTTCTCTCAAAATACTGCTCTACTATCCTTTTAGATTTACTTTCTTCACCTTCATTATATTTGAAAAACTTAATTTTGTTGAAGTCTGTAGCCCTTGTGAGGGCTGTAAAAAAACAATTCTTAATAACATACCATTCATTCCAATCATATATCACTATATCACCATCAACACTACAGCCCTGCTTTGAATGAGCGGTGTAGCAGTAAGCATAAATAAAATGTTTTCTCAATAGTTTCAGTTCTATATTTTGCTTCTCACCAGTTGCCACATTTTGTAAAACAACAATATCGCCAACAATATTCACAATCCTAAATCTAAAATTGACATTAAATTTCTTCCCTTTAGTCTTCATATATTTTCGGCATATAACTTCCTCACCAATAACATATTCTTCAGTTATATTTTTCAGTTCCCTGATTTTGCTTGAAACCATTTTACAGGTGTTGTTTGTATAAGCAATGTTATTCTCATACATTTCTATCTTGTCAGTCCATTTGAAATATGTACCAATGATTTCTCTAAAAAATGTGCCTTCAAAAATCAACCTTTTAACATCTCTTAACTTTTGCCTATCTTCTTCAGTCTTCAATCTCTTACATTCATAAAGCATAGTATTATTCTTGAAAATTAAATTAATACAATGGTCAGCATATTTTTCAAAAGCAATTGCATTACTTACACTCTCAGGATTTTTCAATTGCTTTGTATCACCTGTTGCTAATACAATCTTATCAGGATTATTTTTCTCAAAGTCCCATATCAAAGCCCACTTGCCCACATTATGAAAATATATCTCATCAAACACTATGACATCATAACCTGAATAATCAAGCTTTTGTAGTCTCTCATCTCCAAATGAAATACCAAAAAACTTATTTATGGTAGTCCATTCACAACCGCACTGTTGCACTAACTCATTGCTATGAACAACAAACAAAACTTTATAATTTCTATTTTTCAAATGCTTACATATATAACTCTTGCCTGAACCTGCAAACTCTGCTTGGATAAGCAACCTTTTATTATTCAAAATATGCTCATCAATGATTTCATCAGTGTTCCATTCATCCTTGACATCACCCGTTTTATTTTCATATTCAGTTATATCACATAATACACTGGGTTGCTTACAAAATGCCTTGCTGGGAAAATTAAATTTATCAGACCACCTCCATTCACCAATTTCACTACCAAATTTCAACACCTCCCTTGCTTTACCCAGATTACATTTGTCAATTACAAAGGCATCAGTCTTAACTGAATACACCACTACACCATCCCTCATAAGTGTTTCATAAGCCTCATTCATATCAAAGTTATGATGTTGTAAAATCAGTTCTTTCACATATTTATATCCATTCATTAAAGTTTTTGTGTCAGATATGTTAAGCACATAATGCTTACACTCATCCACAATTTTAGCAAGTTCTTTCCCATCATTTTCAGGCTCAATGACATTGCCTTTATCATCAAATTCAATCAAGCAATCCTCATCATCATCATACACTTCACCATCCCATTTAGTTTCAGTAATGATACTTATATCTCCACCGTATTTTTCTTGATAGTAAAAGGCATCAACCATTTTTGAAAACACTATGGACTTTTTAGCAGTGTTAGTTTGCTTTTCTAATAAGCCGATGTTGATACAAGCAATTATTTTCTTTTTCATTTTGTCCTTCTCTTCATCCTCATCCAGTTTCAATTTCCAAAGTTCATCAACTATTTTTTTGTAATTAACTTTGTATGTATTAGATGGAACTTTGTAATAGATGATTTCAACCATATCAGCATATTTTTTCAAAAACTTACCGTAAATCAAGTTAAAAGTCCTATTAAAAAACAAATTCCTAACTTTGCTTTTAACAAGATATAATGTCAAAGCATTCATCTTGTTAAAATCATTCTTTGAATAATCATACTTTTTCCAAATATCAAATTCAGAAAAGCAAGGCACTTCAAAAATGTCAATGGTAGATTTTGTGTAAGCCTTTCTCCTATCTAATTCAATGTGTGTATTCTTACCTTCAACGATGCTTTCAAAATACCCACTTGGTGCTATACTATGCGCCATTGAAAATATTTTTAAATCATCATTGTGATAATATGACTTGTGATTAGGATTGAACATACCCTTATTGAAATTAAAAAATGCCTCATTGACTTTATTGAACATATCAGCACTATTACTATCAATACAAGTATCCACAGCACAGTCTATCAAACTCTGACTTCTTATATTCAAAATCAACTTATTAAACTTGACCTTGAGTGATGCTACATTGCCACCTGCTCCCATTATGATTTTAGGCTCATACTTTGCCCTCTTGAACCCACAAAAAATTGTATTTAAACTTTTACCACTAACTAAATTTACTTCTTCTTCATCTTCATTATCTTTAACTATACCCATTATGTCATCAATGCCATTGAAAAAATCATACTTAACTGGTTTCTCCTTGCTATTTAAGCGAAAGTCAGTAGAAGCACATAGTTTCATATTTTCCTCTAATTCTTTTTGTGCTATGCTTTTGATGTTGTCATTCATTGTGTAAATGTGGTTTCCCTTAATCATTCCAAACAATACAGTGATGTTTTTGTTTTTCTTATCAGGGTCATAACTGTAAATCTTTTGGCCGATACAGTTGTATAATCTGACTGTCAGTTTAAACTCTTCAAAAACAGGTTTCATATCTTCAACTGATGCCCCATTCTCTCTGAACTTTTCTTCATTCAA